CGCTCTATCCACTGAACCAAACCGGCTAGGGCTAATTTTTTTCTTTTTAATGAAGAGGCCACAGGCTCAAGCTCAGAACCTTTGGCAGGCAATAGTATCTAGCAAGGTTTTAAATAGTGTGAATTGTTCTTAAAACTTTTAGTTTGAAGATTATCTTCTTTTTATGGGATTTGATACTGACTTTTTTCATTTAAGTATAATAAATATTCTTTTAAAAATAAATTTTAATTAAATAAAATTTTTAAAGGGAGTAGGTTTTTACAGGAAAATGTCAAACATTAACAATAGAGCTGTTGTGTACAACGTGCAGGTTATTTATTGCAAAGGTGCCCTGCTCGGGAGAGGGGCACTGTGGGAAACGGGCTGATAGGTAGCCTATTAGCTGTTTATCAAGCCATGTGCCCTGGTACCCCTTTTTAATTCTCACAAAGGGACCATGTGGGCTAGCAGTAAGTGGTGGTACATTGGTATGCAGTATGGCAAAAGTGATGAGGGAGGGATGTAAATGGAAATCCTGTAAGAAAGATATTTGTATTCTCCATTGCACAGAGTGAGATGGAGACTTGAGAGGTACGTGACATGGCTAGAACTCTAACTCCTTTTCTGTGCCCATTTTTCATATTCCTCTCTGAGAGCTCAGTAAAAACCGCAAACCAGGGGCAATGGAGATCCCATTCATAAAAGGAACAAATTTATACAGAATATATAAATAACATCTAATAAAAGTTATATATTATATTTTTATAATATTTTTATAGATTTCAGAGAGGAAGGGGAAGGGAGAGAGAAACATCAATGATGAGAGGGAATCATTGATTGGCTGCCTCCTGCATGCCCCCTACTGAGGATCAAGCATGTAATCTGGGCATGTGCCCTGACCAGGAATTTAACTCTGACCTCTTGGTTCATAAGTCGATGCTCAACCACCAAGCCACACCGGCTGGGCTATATATGGTCTTTACAGAGAAAAGTTAATTGTACGACATAGAAGAAGATGTACATGGAAAGACATACAATACCATGTTCATGGATAATAAGATTACTATAAAGATGTTGGCTCTCTTGTCTGCAAATTCAGTAGTTTCAATAAAAATCCCAACAGGATTTTTCATAGAATTGATAAACTGATTCTAATTCGTGTGACATTGCAAAGAATTGGGAATAACCAGACAATTTTGGAGAACAAGAAGAGAGGCCTTTCTCTATGAGATATCAAGGCAGATTGTGAAGCTGTATTCATAACATAATGTGGCCCTGCTCTGTCCAATATAATAGCCACTAGCCACATGTTGCTATTAAGCACATGTGGCTAGTATGAACTGAGAAGTGCTATAAACGTAAAATACACACCAGATTTTGAAGACTTAGTAGGAGTAAAAAAATAATGTAAAATATGTCTTTAATTTTAAAATATTGATCACATGTTGAAAATGTAATATTTTGAATATATTAGGATAAATAAAATATATTATTAAAATTAATTTCCCCTTTTCCTTTATGTGGCTACTAGAAAATTTTAAATTACATATGTAATTATGCATAATATGTATGTTATTATATTTCCTACATATATCTGTTGGACAGCACTGGTCTGGACCATTGAAACAGAGTAGAGCCTAGAAACAGACTAAACATGTATGGGAACGTGGAGTATGGCAAAAGTAGCATTATTAGCCATGTGAAAGGAATAGACTATTTAAAAAACAATGATGGGGCCCTGGCCGGTGTGGCTCAGTTGGTTAGGCATTGTCCTGTGCACTGAAAGGTAGCCCAGATTGCACGCTTGATCCCTCGTAGGGAGCATGCAGGAGGCAGCCGAGCACTGTTACACTCTCACATCGATGTTTCTCTCTGTCTTTTCCTCTCTCTTTAAAAATAAAAAAATAAAATAAAAACATTTTTTAAAAAACCAGTTGGCTTATTGTTATGTCATTCGTCCACGAACACACACACACACACACACACACACACATTTATATGTTGAAGCCCTATCCTTAATATGATGGTATTTGGAGGTGGGACATTGGAGTCTAATTAGTGTTAAGTAAGGATATAAGAGTAAGGCCTTCATGATGAAATTAATGCCCTTATAAAAAGAGAAAGAGACAGGAGTACTCTCTCTCCATCATGTGAGAATACAGTGAGAAGGTCTACAATCCAGGAAGTGGGCCCTCATCAAGAACCAAATCTGTTGGCACTTTGATCTTGGACTTCCTAGCCTCCAAAGCTGTGAGAAATAAATTTTTGTTGTTTAAGCCACTTAGTCTACGATATTCTGTCATAGCATCCCAAACAGACTGATAATTTGCCATATGGAAAAAAATTAGAGGTCTGATTTATAACATATAAATATAAAGACCACCTAAAAATGAAAATGTTTTTAAGATTCTTAGAAATTATTGGGACTATTTTTATGGCCTGGGTGTTCGAAAGGATGTGGTTTCAGTGATAGCCTTTGCTGCTAACAGATCAACCCAAAACTTAGTAGCTTAAAACTGCCACAGTTTATTACTTCCTACTGTTCTGTGGGGTGGCAGGTGATTCTTCAGCTGGTGGGATGGCTGTGCTCTCTGGACCACCTGGGCTTCTGTCTTCTTTGATGGTCTTTCATCCCATGGGCTTCTTCATAGCATGGTAGACTCAGGGCACCAAGAGAATGCGAGTGGACTCTGCCAGGCCTGTTGAGGTCAACACTCAGAAATCACAGAGTATCAATTCTGTCTGTTGGTTGGTTAAAGCAATTCATGGGCTGAGTCAGATTCAAGGGGTGAGGAAGTAGACACCACTTTTTTTTTTTTTTAAAGAGGCTGTATCATGTTTTGTTTTTCTTTAAATATATTTTATTTTTTACAGAGAGGAAGGGAGAGGGAGAGGGAGTTAGAAACATCCACGAGAGAGAAGCATCAATCAGCTGCCTCCTGCACACCCCCTACTGGGGATGTGCCCGCAACCAAGGTACGTGCCCTTTACCGGAATCGAACCTGGGACCCTTGAGTCCGCAGGCTGACGCTCTATCCACTGAGCCAAACCGGTTACAGCAAGACACCACTTTCTGATTGGGGGAATGGTTAAGTCACTTTGCAAAGAGACATGCCAGATTATAGGATTCCCTAAAATCCAAAAAGCCCTGACTGTTAAGGCAAAGATTGACAAGTTCAACTACATTAAAATCAAATACTTCGGTGGTGCTCTCCCTCCAGGGAGAAGCCAGTGCCTTTCCTCCCCCTTTCCCCGCCCCTCTGCCTTCCCCAGGCACTTTACCCAAGCTCCAAGGGCCCTTTCTTTATCTCAATAACTCGTTTCCTAAATCCATTTCTTCTACAAACTACTTCTTCTATCTCTGTAATTTACCAAATAAATGTTCTCTTACAGTTTGGATCTTGCTCTGAATTCTTTCCTAGCCAGAACCCAAGTACTGAGGTTGCTGAACCCAGGTTTGGTCTGACCCACCAGTCAGACACCTGGTGCCCTTCCTGCTGCCAATTAAAAAAAAAAAAAAAGAAATCAACAATGAAAGTATGTCCACACAAAAGCTTATAGACCAGCAGTTCTCAACCTGTGGGTCGTGACCCCTTTGGGGGTCGAACGACCCTTTCATAGGGGTCGCCTAAGACCATCAGAAAACACATATATAATTACATATTGTTTACAGTAGCAAAATTACAGTTATGAATGTCTCCCTTCCACTCTCTCTAAAAATCAATGAAAAAATATCCTTGGGTGAGATTAACAAAAAAAAAAAAATTTTTTTATTTAAAAAAAATCAAACACTTTGATTTCTGAAAACACCCATTTGAAAAAATAAAAAGACAAGTTGCAGATTAAGAGAAGATATTTACAGCATTTTTAAGTAGTATCCAGATATATAAAGAACTATAAATCCTGAGAACAAGGCCAACAACCCATTAGAAAAATGGGCAAAAGGCATGATAAGATAATTTATAGAACAAAAGAAAATGATGTTCAACTTCATTAGCGAAATTAAAATATAAAAACAGTGAAATACTATTTTATACTCAAACACTAGCAGAAACAGGTTATCTGATGATACTAAGAAGTGTTGGCTAGGATGTGATGTGTGGAAGGAGGGTGCTTGTACACTTTTCAGGGAAGAAGAAAGCAGCTTTGCCAGCATCTGGTGATGGTGCAGGTGGATCCGCCCTGTAGTGCCTCCTTGGAACATTCCTCGATGTGTACTCTGGTACAGAGTGTTCATTCCAGCATTGTTTGTAATAATAGATGTGAAGAAACAACTTAAATATAGGATATTAGATAAATAAATTGTGTCATGTTTATTTAAAAATACTATACAGAAATCTGAATGAATGAGCTGTGTGGATCAGCATGGATAGAACTTGCAAATGTAATGTTGATTAAAAAGGATATGTTCCAGAATACTTATACTGTGATGCCATTTATGTAAATTTTGAGCCACATAAAATAATATTCTAGTTTATTTATGAATGCATAAGTATAAGGAATAATAATGTAAACAAGAATGATATACAACAACTCCAGGATCATGGTTGCCCCTGGAAGGGGAGGAGAGAATGGGATCAGGACGGGCACAGCGGGGGTTCCAGTCTGTTCTGATATACTCTTTCTTAAAGTCTGAGGCAAATATGGGAGAGTGAGAAGAGTTGGTAATTCTGGGTGGTAGTTTGTGTTTTTACTTTTCTGTATGCTTAAAATATTTCATTAAAAATACATGCATATCTCTAAAGTGTCAATATTTTAGTCATGTAGGATGTTCTAAAGAGCCATTTTCACATTTGCAATGACTTGGAGTTTAATTTCCTGAACATAATTTATACATTTAACCAGTGAAAAAACGTCATCCTAGAATTGATGGGTTATCTTTGACATTTCCTGCTGGAGTGTTAGGTGTGTAGAGTAGAGTACTAGAATCAGGGATCATTTTTAGGAATTGCCAGATCCAGACTTGCATGTGTTTTATGAATCCGACGGTGGTCATTTACTGCCTTTTCCTCCCTTCCCAGGAGTCTCGCTTTGCCCCATCTGAAGTCCATATGGCTCTTTATGATGAAGATCTCCTGAAAAATCCTTTCTACCTGGCCCTTCAAAAGTGGCGTCCTGACTTGTGCAACAAGGTGGCCCAACTTCATGGCATTGTAAGTGCATCAACCCTGAGGATTGTCCTTTCCCATTAGCTGTGGACCAAGCAGTGCTGGCGAGGCCAGAAATATAGTAGACTTTGGTTAAGTTTAGAGGGAATCAGCTACAAACCTACTCAGTTTAAAAGCCCCAGACCGTGCTCAGTATGGAACAAGTACCAACCCAGGGTGTAATGTTTTCTCTGCACTCTCAGCCCATGGGGACACAGGTCTCCTGGTGTTCACCTCTGTTTCTTTTGTTCCATGTTGACCATGAGGGCTATCGAGGACAGAAATGACATTCCTTCTCAGGGCCTCATGAGGCCTGGTGTGAGGTGGGCACTCACTCCCATAGAATAAGAGAACGTGTGAACACATTCCCATGTCACTTTCAAAGGCATGTGAGGTGGGCACTCACTCCCATAGAATAGAACGTGTGAACACATTCCCATGTCACTTTCAAAGGCGTTTCCTACAGGGAAGGAACTGTGGTGAAAGAATGTTTATAATAGGGCCACAACCTCAAACGCCTTCACGGGCAGCCGGGTAACAGGAATGAGGGAAGTGTGTAAGAGAGACTGTAGCCTGTCTGTGGGGCCCTGTTCCTGGCGAGAAGGCAGGCCTCACGCTGCAGGTCTGTCCAGTTCTGAGGTTGTCTTACACAACACAGCGGGACACAGTGTGTGGGTGCCTCTGTGCCATCCTGTGCTTGAGGAGTCTTCTTTCTGTGTGTTGTCCTCTTCTCATACTGTGTTCCCACTTTTCTTGCCACGGGGTGTGATTTTACTCAGTTATGTCAGGAGGCTGTGGATTTGAACCAATGGAGAAGTCACTTTAGCCCAATGATGTCAGGCAGGTTCTCAGCTGCCCTCTGGAAAATTGGAACTGACTTCCACACCACCCACTTCATCCCTGTGCCATCAGAAACCTGATTTCTTGAACTCCCTTCCGATTTTTATGATTGGTTTTGTGATTGATACATTTTATCCAGTTTTTTTTTAATTTTTATTTTGTGTGTATGTGTGTGTATTTCTTTTTTTTCTTTTTTTTTCAGAGAGGAAGGGAGAAGGTGAGAAAGATAGAAACATCAACGATGAGAACAGCTGCCTCCAGCATGCCCCACACTGGGGATTGAGCCTGCAACCCAGGCATGTGCCCTTGGCTGGAATCGAACCTGGGACCCTTCAGTCCTCAGGCCAGTGCTCTTTCCACTGAGCCAAACTAGCTAGGGCTTATTTTTATTTTTATTTATTTATTTTATATATATTTTATTGATTTTTTACAGAGAGGAAGGGAGAGGGATAGAGAGTTAGAAACATCAATGAGAGAGAAACATCAATTAGCTGCCTCCTACACACCCCCTACTGGGGATGTGCCCACAACCAAGGTACATGCCCTTGACTGGAATAGAACCTGGGACCCCTGAGTCCAAAGGCTGATGCTCTATCCACTGAGCAAAACCGGTTAAGGCTATTTTCATTTTTTAATATATCTTTAATAATTTCAGAGAAGAAGGGAGAGGGAGAGAGAGATAGAAACATCAATGATAAAAGAGAATCATTGATCGACTGCCTCCTGCTCACCCTCTACTGGGGATTAAGCCCACAACCCAGGCATGTGCCCTTGACTGAAATCAAACCTAGGACCCTTCAATCCACAGGCCGACATTCTATCCACTGAACAAAACCAGCTAGGGCTTATTCTGGATTTTACAAGTCATAGAGTTCATTATAAAAACAGTTAGAGAGCCCAGCCAGTATGGCTCAATGGTTGAGCATCCACCCAAGAACCAGGAAATCACTGGTTCGATTCCTGGTCAGGGCATATGCCTGGATTTCGAGCTCAATCCCCAGTGGGGGTTGTTGCGGAGGCTGCAGGAGGCAGCCGATTGATGATTCTCTCTTATCCTTGATGTTTCTCTCTCTCTCTCTTTTTCCCTTTCCCTCTGTGAAGTCAATAAAAACATATTTTAAAAACAAACAACAGTTGGAGAACCCAGCCAGTGTAGCTCAGTGATTGAGTGTTGACCCATGAATCAGGAGGTCATGGTTTGATTCCTGGTCAAGGCCCATGCTCGGGTTGCGAGCTCTATCCCCAGTGGCATGCAGGACACAGCCTATTGATGATTCTCTCTCATCATTGATGTTTCTGTCTCTCTCTCTCCCTTCTTCTCTGAAATAAATAAAAACATATTTTAAAAATATATTTTTAAAAAACAGTTGGAAACAGCAATCAGGCTCAACTACAAGACTATGCTCACATGGGCCTACCTAGAGTGCCCAGCTCAGGTGGTGGAAAACTGAGTCACTGGGCCCTACAGGACACCTACTACACAAGGCTAATTCCAGGAGACATTGCGGCTCTACCTAATACAGAGAAACAAATACAGAGAAGCAGCTAAAATGCGGAGACATAGAAACATGTCACAAGTAAAAGAAATGAAAGCAAGCAAACTATTGGATACAGAGTTCAAAGCAATGGTTATAAGGTTACTCAAGGATCTTAATGAGAGTTTGAAGGGAATTAATGGGAGCTTCAATGGACTTAGTAAGACTTTCAAGGATCATAGTGAGAATGTCAAAGACATAAAAAAGGACCAGTCAGAAATTAAGCATATACTAACTGAAATAAAGAATAATTTACAGGGATTCAACAGGAGAATACATGATTCCGAGAATCAAATCAACAACTTGGAATATGAGGGAGCAAAAAACACCCACTCAGAAGAGCAAAAGGAAAAAAGAATCCAAAAATATGAAAATAGTGTAAGGAGCCTCTGGAACAACTTCAAGTATACCAACATTCACATTATGGGGGTGCCAGAAGGAGAAGAGAGAGATATTGAAAAACTATTTGAAGAAATAATGACAGAAAACTTCCCTACCTGGTGAAAGAAATAGACTTACAAGGGCAGAGAATCCCAAACAAGAGGAACCCAAAGAGACCCACATCAAGACACATTATAATTAAAATGCCAAGAATTAAAGACAAAAAGAGAATCTTTAAAGCAGCCAGAGAAAAGCAGTCAGTTACCTACAAAGGAGTGCCCATACGACTGTCAGCTGATTTCTCAACAGATACTTTGCAGGCCGGAAGGGAATAATTCTGGCAAGAAATATTCAAAGTGATGAATAGCAAGATTACTCTACCCAACAAAGCTAACATTTAGAATTGAAGGTCAGATAAAGAGCTTCACAGACAAGAAAAAGCTGAAGGAGTTCATCACCACCAAACCAGTATTACATGAAATGTTGAGGGGTATTCTTTAAGAAGAGGAAGAAGAAGAAGGGGGCCGGGGAGAGGAGAATCAAAAATAGGAATAATAAAATGGCAATACATACATACCTATCAACAACTGAATTTAAAAGTCAAATGAACAAGAAATCTAATGGACAAAATAAACTGATGAATAAAATAGAACCAGAGGCATGGAAACATAGAACAGACTAACGAATCTCAGAGAGAAGGGGAGAGGAGCAAGGAGAGATTAATTAAAGATCTTATATGCATACTAGAGGCCCGATGCACGAAATTCGTGCAAGGGGCTTGGCCTTCGCAGTCGCGGCTTCGTCAGGAAGGTCGTCCAGATGGTCATTCCACTGTTTAGCTGTTCAGTCTAATTAGCATATTATGCTTTTATTATTACAGATATGCATGACCTATGAATACAGACAGTAGGGTGGTGAAGGCCTGGGGTGGGGTGGGGTGGGACCCAGGTGAAGGGGGCAATGGGAGGAAAAAGGGGGACATTTGTAATACTCTCAACAATAAAGATTAAAAAAACAAACAGTTGGAGAATACAGCTGTTGCCAAAGAAGAAAATAAAAATCTCATGAAAGCTCACCAAAGACATTCATTGTTATCTTTTCATTTCACTTAAAAAAAAAAATGCTACTCTAGGCAAGGCACTATGTTTGTCAGCCAAATATATGAATATACATCATCATCTTTACCCTATGGAGCTTAAATTCTAGTGGGAAAGATGGTTATATTCTGAATATATATTTATTAGAATTGTAGCTGTGGTAAGTGTCACAGAGAAAAGGTATAGGATGCAAAGCAATCGTGTTGACTGGGAGAGCTTAACCTAATTTGGGAAATATTTCCTTCCCATCTTTGTTCTATGATATTTAATATGTACTGTCCAGCCCTAACTGGTTTGGCTCAGTGGATAGAGCGTCGGCCTGCGGACTCAAGGGTCCCAGGTTCAATTCTGGTCAAGGGCATGTACCTTGGTTGTGGGCACATACCCAGTAGGGAGTGTACAGGAGGCAGCTGATCGATGTTTCTCTCTCATCAATGTTTCTAACTCTCTATCCCTCTCCCTTCCTCTCTGTAAAAATTAATAACATATATTTTAAAAAATAAGTACTGTCTAGATAACATATGTAACTTTCTCGTGCTTTTTAAAAATGCCACACTGTGGCCCTGACTGGTTTGGCTCAGTGGAGAGAGCGTCGGCCTGTGGATTGAAGGGTCCCAGGTTCAATTCTGGTCAAGGGCATGTACCTTGGTTGTGGGCACATCCCCAGTAGGGGGTGTGCAGGAGGCAGCTGATCGATGTATGGGTATTCCCTTGTAGGTAATTGAGTCTCTTTCTCTTGCTGCTTTTAAGATTCTCTCTTTGTCTTTTGCTCTTGGCATTTTAATTATGATGTGTCTTGGTGTGGTCCTCTTTGGATTCCTTTTGTTTGGGGTTCTCTGCGCTTCTTGGACCTGTAAGTCCATTTCTTTCACCAGGTGGGGGAAGTTTTCTGCCATTATTTCTTCAAATAGGTTTTCAATATCTTGCTGTCTCTCATCTTCTGGCACCCCTATTATTCTGATGTTGGTACGCTTGAAGCTGTCCCAGAGGCTCCTTACACTATCTTCGTATTTTCGGATTCTTTTTTCATTTTGCTTTTCCGGTTGGGTGTTTTTTGCTTCTTCGCATTTCAAATCTTTGACTTGATTCTTGCGCTCCTCTGGTCTGCTATTGGGTGTCTGTATAATATTCTTTATTTCAGTCCGTGTATGCTTAATTTCTAGTTGGTTCTTTATCATAGCATCGAGGGTCTCATTAGTTTTCGTGACTCTCTCCTCAAGTTTATTGACAGCTTCTAGCACATTTTTGCAAGCCCTCAAAATTGCGATTTTTAGCTCTATATCCTCCATTTCTGTCATGTTTTTTTGTCTCCGCATTTTTTATGCTTTCTTGGTGCACCCCCTAGTGGTCTTTGTGCGCAGTCTTGTTCTAGTTGAGCCTTGATTGTTGTAGTTAATACTAGAGGGATTTGACCACCAGGCCGACTGGCTGTGTGAATCAGCTGTGTCTGCCGCGGAAAACTTCTGTCCTCTGGGGAGGTGCTAATCTAGCCTTTGCCTGAGGCTATCCGGCAAATGGCTCTGCGCAGGGCTTGGGCGGGGCGGGCTCAACAGGGCGGGCGGAGGGAGCCGTTATGGTGCCCTCAGTCCTGTTCCCAGAGGCTCTGCTTCTCAGAACCCCCGGAACCGCTGCAAACCTCGGAGGGAAAGCTGCCTTCCAACTGATGCCAGACACTCCCGCTTCTCCCGTTTGGGTCCGAGTCCCCAGCGATTCGCCCGTATCTGGAGCTCAGAGTCTGAGACTCCCCCCTGACCGAAAACGACAACCGCGCTCTCAGCCACCAGCCCGCTTTGCGCGCGCACCTCCGCACCTGAGTTTTTTCCACACTGCGCCTCCTCTGAGCCTCGGTGTGCTGTTATTTTTCCTTCTAGTTGAAGAGTCTCTCCTCAGCCAGCCTTCCTGTGGTTCTGGGTGATGTCCGTTCCGTCTTTTAGTTGTATTTTTGAAGTGGTTGTTTGCGGCAGCAGTCTCCGGTGTTTACCTATGCCGCCATCTTGGTCTCTCCTAGTTTGTTTTCTAACTATTTATTTATTTTAAATGCCACACTGTGGTCCTGGCCAGGTGACTCAGTTGGGGCATCGTACTGTACACCAAAAGGTTGCAGGTTCGATTCCTGGTGGGGGAGCATGCAAGAGGCAACCAATCGATGTTTCTCACATCAATGTTTTTCTCTTTCTTCCCCCCTCTCTAAAATCAATAAAAACATATCCTCGGGTGAGGATTAAAAAATAAGTAAAAATAAAAATGCCACACAGTGGAATGCTGTTATTTTTCAGTAAGTTCTGTGTGACCTGTCTCACTCACCACTGTGTTGCCAGCCCTTAGCACAGTTCCTTTGTCATCCAGTAGGTACTTTTCCAGCTGCAAGTAGTGGAATCACACTTAAGCTCACTTTAGCGAGAGGGGAATTTTGAATAAGAACTTTGGCATCTTGGTCGCCTTCCTTTCAGGTACACTGAGGAATGGGAGATTCTTCTTAAACGGTACCATCCCAAGTTCCCAGTGGTACCCTAGGCCGCTTACTCCAGCCCCTCCTGAAAGCCATGAGATCCACAGGGAACTGTTTAGGGCCCACATTGGGCAGCACTGAATTCCTCAGCCTTGTTTAGTTCCAGAATCAGTGAGGCCAGCTTCTCAGCAGGAATCAGCAGTGCTGGGAAGGAGCTGGCCTGCTCCGCGGGTCAGATATTGTTGGCTAGCTTCTGCCCCCTGATGGCCGGGTGATGGGAACAGGCTCATCCCTGTCTAATGTATAATAATACACCCTCCACGACTGGTGGTTGAAAGAAAAGTAGAATATTCCAGTTGCCTCTAGAAGAGGCAACTTTCTGCCATCTCTAAAGGATCCATGTGGCCTCAGCAGGTGAATGCTAAATTTATTTCCATGGGGCTTGGTCATGGGGCCAAATTTGGCCGCCCTCAAATCCTTTATTAGGCTCTAAAAATGTGATATTTCCACTTTTAAATGTGTATCTCCCCTAGGCTTAACTGCCCCTTAGTCCTCTCCCTGTGAGCCAAGCTTGCAGGCCACCTAATCCTCACACAAAGTGTACAGCAGCTAAGAATGCAGCTTGGCTGCTTTCCCCACTGCCCTAGCCCGTCCTCCAGTCTTCCTTCCTTCCACGCCTTCCTTTGATGGGGATGTCTCTATGTACAGGCACTTCTGCGCATGGGCCACAAAGTTTCAATCGCACTGTACATGGGCGCCCGCACGTGGTATTTTGTGGAAGAGCCACACTCAAGGGGCCAAAGAGCCACATGTGGCTCGCAAGCCGCAGTTTGCCGACCACTGGGCTAGGGTCTCAATATTTCTTCAACATTGTCTAATATCTAGTCCTGTTCAAATTTCCCAAATCTCTCATATTTTTTGTTTGTTTTACAATTGATTTGTTCAAATCAGGATTCAAAGGAGATCCACACATTATGTTGAATTGATAAGTCTCTCTTTTTCTCCTAACTTTATTGAGCTAAACTGAAGTACACGAAACTGCACATACTTAATGTGCAATCTTGAGTTTCTTTTTAATTTTTTCTTTTAATTTTCTTTTTCTTTGGTCACTTATTCTGTAGAGCTTCCTGCATTCTGGCTTTTGCCAGTCTCAGTCCCATAGTGGTGTTTAACATGGCCCTCTGTTCTCTGCATTTCCTGAAATTGGTGGTTAAATCTAGATCTTGATCTGGTTCAGTCTTGATTTTTTGAGGCAGGGCAAGGCCACCTTGTAGACAGGCTTGAGTTCTTCCCTCAGTCAGTGCCTCCCTTTCCTGCTGTGAGGGATTGGTGTGTCTCCGTGGGGAGAGAGGCCGCACTGCTCTTTCTGACTCCCTGAGGAAGCCCCTGAGGCCCCCTGCCCCCAGAGGCTCCCGAGTTCCATGGTGTCTTTGCAGAGGAAACTGCAGGAGGTTCTGGGCCAGTGGTTCTCAACCTTCCTAATGCCGCGACCCTTTCATACAGTTCCTCACGTTGTGGTGACCCCCAACCATAAAATTATTTTTGTTGCTACTTCATAACTGTAATTTTGCTACTGTTATGAATCGTAATGTAAATATCTGATATGCAGGATGTATTTAGGCGACCCCTGTGAAAGGGTCGTTTGACCCCCAAAGGGGTCGCGACCCACAGGTTGAGAACCGCTGTTCTGGGCAGTCCTTCCGTGAGGCAGCAAGATGGGGCGGCAGGAGTCGGAATCGTGGCTCTGCCACTTACTCAGTCCTTCCGTGAGGCAGCAAGATGGGGCCGCGGTTAGAGGGCGGCAGGAGTCGGAATCGTGGCTCTGCCACTTACTGGCTGTGTGACCCTGGGCAAGTTACTTAACTCCTTTGAGTCTCGGTTTCCTCTTCTGCACAGTGGGGATAGTGCAGGAGCCGTTTGCTTTTGGCAGGGCTGCTTCAGGAGATGGGGCTCTGAATGACTTAGCTGCTTTGGGTCATCTTCCTTCCGGGTGCACTTGTGTCTGAGAGTCCTCTGAAACACGAGTCCCTGAGCCCAGCACAGATCCATGTGCCGGGGCAGTAGGCAGTGTTGAGTCAGGCTCCTTCCTGTGCTGCTTTGAGCTGAGAAGCTGGTGTCTCGTCAGTGAGGTGGCCACTGTTGGACTAAAAATTCAGGTTTCCGATTGCACCTTCCCCAAAGCGAGGCTCTGGCACGCTGAGACATCTCTGGTGGAGGTGACAGCCTGCGATGGGAAACTGAGTTTCTGTACTTGTGTTACAAACTGTGATCATAACTAGGCTTAAAAACAAACACAGAAGGGAGATGGGAAGCAAACTGTCTTCATGTGCAGTGTTTATCATTTAGGTGTGGGAATACATGTGACTTTTTAGTGTCACTTTTCTGTGCTTTCCAAACTATCCTCTCTCCATCTGGAACCGTTCATGAGCCAGTTGATGACTGAGTGGGGCACCCAGTCCAGCTGTGGGGAGGGACCCCACAGGGTGGGAGCTACCTCCCTCTGACTGGGCTCCATCACAACGACAACAGAGTGAGTCAGCTGGCATCACCTGCTGCCGTGTTGGGCATTATCTCTGCAGAAGGTCCCCACAACAGTTCCAGCTGGAATATTTTGTGATGCATCCTGTTCTGCTGAAGTTGTAAATGACACATCTCTCTAGTATTCACCCTAATTATTTTTTTCCAGGTCTTAGTTCCCTGCAAAGGAAGCCTAACAAGCAATGTTCAGTCTACTTGTCAGTTTGAGTCCTATATTTTGAAACCAGTGGAAGAACACTTTCAGACCTTAAATGGAAAGGTATTCATTTCTTTGTGGGTCAACCAGGGTTACTCACTCAGTATTTGGGTGGGCTGGAGGGGAGAGAATCCTGCTTGTCGCCCTTTCACATCTATGTTAAATGATGGCTTTAATACAGCCGCCCTGTGGGATGGGGTTGGAGGGCCCGCTGCCTTTGAGGAAAGAGGAGATGGTAGTGCTGAGCAGGGCCTTGGCTGGGCATCTCTTCCTCAGCCTATGGGTTTCCTGCCAGTGATACCTCTTCCTTGAGGTCCTGGCAAAGCAAGCTATTTTATCCCTGTGACATTGTCCATAAATTGGAGATCAGGGATGAAGTTTAATTTTTTTAAAACTTTGTTTTGAGCCCAGCTGGTATAGCTCAGTGGTTGAGCATCAACCTATGAACCAGGAGGTCTTTATTCCTGGTCAAGGCACATGCCCAGGTTGTGGACTCGATTCCCAGGAGGGGGCATGTAAGAGGCAGCCAATCAATGATTCTCTCTCATCATTGATGTTTCTATCTTCTCTCCCTCTCCCCCTCTCTCTCCCTTCCTCTCTCTGAAATCAATAAAAATATATTTTTAAAAAACACCCAATTTTGTTTTGAAATCATCTCAATCCTACAGAAAGTTTCAGTAAAGTAGAAAGAACTCTCATATACCCTTCACCTAGATTGGTGAACTATTAACATTTTGGCCACATTTATTTTATCACTATACATAATATACATTACTATTACTTTTTCTGAACCTTTTTCAGAAAATGTTTCATAAACCATGTCCCTTTACTTCAAAACAATTCCATCTGTATTTCCTACATAACCAGAGCACAGTGATCATACTCAGAAAATTTAACATTGATAGAGTACTGTCCTCCAACATCCTGTTCTCATACAAGCTATGCTAATTGCACTAATAATTGTACTTTCAGATCCAGGGTCCCAGAATGCATTTTCAGTTTTCTTCTTTTGCAAGAGGCCCTCAGTCTGTCTCTCATGACAGTGACATTTCTGTTTTGCTTTGGAGACTCGCCCTCCGTGTGGGCCCTCGGATGTTTCCTCATGATTAGATTAGCAGTTATCGTTTCTGGCAGGAATGCTTCCAAAGGGTATTTTATCTTTCTCAGTGTATCACGTCAGGGAGCACATGATATCCATCTGTCTCGTAGTCAGTGCTAACTTTGGAGTATGCATTTTCTTATTTTTTAAGTGTGAGCAGGTAGGTTCTGACAGCAGGAGGTTCCATTCCTTGTCAGGACTCTCCAACCCAGCAGCTGTAGGCACTGTGTGGGGAAGAGGAATGATGGGGCATGGGGTGACCTGGACACCGGCTTGGGGTCAGCAGCCCAGTGGCTCACGAGGCATGCCACTGTTTTCCTGCCAGAGATCTGCTCACCACAGCTGCCAGTCCCTTATTAGTTTTTTGTTCTCTTTGGGGTACCCAGATCTACAAAGAGCAGAGCAGTCAGGCTTTATCACAGTGGGTCTGCCCTGGGCTCCCTGGCCATGGCCAGAGTGGTGAGCCTCAAAGGGGACTGCAGCATCATTGTCCAGCCCCATCCCAGCTGAACACCGGACACTTTGGTCTTTTGTTCAGATAGGAGAGCCTTCCTACTCTTCCATTCCTGGAGGGTGTAGTTTCTGCTACTCTGAGGAACAGCTTAGTGCTTCTTCTGTTGCAACATCTAAAAAGGATCAGGGCCCATCCAGTGTGGCTCTGGTTGAGCGTGGACCTATGAACCAGGAAGTCATGGGTTCGATTCCTGGTCAGGGCACATGCCCAGGTCTTGGGCTCAATCCCCAGTGTAGGGTATGCAGGAGGCAGCCAATCAATGATTCTCTCTCATCATTGATGTTTCTATCTTTCTCTCCTTCTCCCTTCCTCTCTGAAGTAAAAATATATTTTAAAGAATAGAAAAAGTATCAGGATACTACTGTAGCCACAACTACAGAGTGAACAAAGAGGAAAGAAAAACATTTTCGTATCAAAAAGCAAATTAAAGAGTAGTCCTCCCATGGCCATAGCTCAATTAGCTAGAGCATCATCCGTATATGCCAAGTTTGTGGGTTCGATCCCTAGTCAGAGCACTTACAAGAATCAACCAATGAGTGCATAAATAAGTGGAACAACAAATCAATGTGTGTGTGTGTGTGTGTGTGTGTGTGTGTGTGTGTGTGTAAAAAATCAAAAGAGTGGTGCTGTCCCTACAAACCCACATTGGAGCGAAGAGGGGCAGGTTGGGTAAAGTACTGTATTGGGTCCAGGCGGAGGGTCGATGGTCACCACTGGTTAGTGGTGCAGTGATGGTTCTCTTATTCTAGGATGTCTTTATACAAGGAAACAGGATTAAATTAGGAGCTGGTTTCGCCTGTCTTCTCTCAGTGCCCATTCTCTTTGAAGAAACTTTCTACAATGAAAAAGAAGAAAGTTTCAGCCTACTGTGTATAGCCCATCCTTTGGAGAAGAGAGAGAGTTCAGGTATTCTGCAAGAAAACCCCTTTCTCATGATTTGGAGCAATGTATTTATTGAATTTCCTCCTGACATAACTATTACAAACATCCCATAAAATGTTCAAGAGCCCACTAGAAAACTGTATCATTATTTACATAATTGCCCCATAGAACTTAATCAGAAGGTTATCTCGAGCTAAGGTTTGGACTTGGCTGCTGCATATGGTTGCACAGTTTGGACATGACAGTTCCAGGAGGCAGTATTCACATAGGCCTCAGTGTGGATGTTGTCCCCTAGAGTTGTGCAAAGTGGTAGCCCTGGCTTTGTCTCGGACCTCGGCTTTAGAGCTAGCTCTTATAGCATTATTACCACCCAGCCCCACTGTGGTGCCTCTTTGAGATCTCATTATTTTTAATGAATAATAATTCTTCAGCTGCTCCAGGAAATTGAGGCAGCAATTTTCCAAATGCAGTCTGAGGCCTTATTATCAGGAATCAGGGCTTCTTCACCAGAGCCACACAGGTCATGCCCAAGATCCCAGATAGTCCAGGTTTTGTCCCAGAAAACAGTCTCAAGAGGACCAGGCTCTCTGAACCCTGGGTTTTCCTGTAACTGGGCTGCCCTTGGGCAATATCTTGAAATAGGTTCATCCTCCTCTTCCCCCTGGAAGGTGGGGCCCAGACCCTGGGGAAGCAGGGCAAAGGATGTGGCACTTCCCCTGCTAGGAAACAGTGAACGCTTCAGTCATCCTGACTCTCTGTCTCTTTTTCAGAAGAGCCTTCAACACCCTCAGATACCTTTTCCTTGAAAACCATCGAAGATGTGAGAGAGTTTTTGGGAAGACACTCGGAGAGATTTGACAAGAACATTGCCTCTTTCCAGCGAACATTCAGGGAATGTGAAAGAAAGAGCCTCCGTCACCACATAGTCAGTACCTGTGTCTTGCTTTGCCAGGCATGCCTGGTCTCAGGCCAGTTTAGAGCCCAGAATCCCTCTCAGTTTACTCTGAAGATTTGCTGCCTCCGCTGTTGGAAGTTTGTTTGAAATATTTCTAACTATAAAAGTAGTACAAGCCACTGTAGAAAACTTGAAAATCACAGAGAAATGTAAAAATTATTATCACCCTGGACAGTGTGCACAGTGGTTAGAGAATTGTCCTGCACACCAAAGGATCATGGGTTCAATTCCCGGTCAAGGGCACGTACCTGGGTTTCAGGTTCTATCCCCAGCCCCAGTCAGGGTGCATGTGGGAGGCAGCCAATCGATGTGTCTCTTTCACATCAATGTTTCTCTCTCTCCCTTCCATTCTCACTCTAAAAAAAAAAAAAAAACAATGGAAAAATATCCTCTGGTAAGGATTAAAATAAATATATATATATATATATCCCTAGCTGGTTTGGCTCAATGGATAGAGCATTGTTCTACGGACTGAAGGGTCCCAGGTTCGATTCTGGTAAAGGGCACATGCCTGGGTTGGGGGCTTGATCCCCATTAGGGGATGTGCAGGAGGCAGCCAGTCAGTGATTCTCTCTCATTGATGTTTCTATCTCTCTTTCCCTCTCCCTTCCTCTCTGAAATCAATAACTCCAAAAGGATTTTATTTCTATTTTTAATGCATATACACCTAAAAAAAAAGTTGAAAAAAATAACTGAGTTGATAAACATGCATAAGCACTTAAAGTTTGTCACATTTTGTAAAATGTTCTCTTCACTTCAGGACATGTTGCATGTCTGGGTTTTGTGTTATGGCCTGTCTCTCTGCTCTGTCACTTAGGACGCGGTGAATGCACTCTACACCAAATGCCTCCAGCACCTTCTGAAGGACTCTCACCTGGTAAGCAGCAGGACTTTCAAAAGAGAGAATTGCAGTCTGCCCACATGCAAAGCCAAGCACTTTTACTGTACTTTCCTTGTTTTCTAGAAGATGCTTGCCAGGCATGAGGCCCAGATGAACCTGATGAAGCAGGCGGTAGAGGTAAGAGGCCAGGGCAGTGAGGGGAGAAGGCGGCAGTGCTGCGACTCTCCTTGCTGCCCCCCCACACACCCTGAACTGGGGTTCGTTGATTTCACAGATGTACGTCCAGCACGATATTTATGATCTGATCTTTAAATATGTGGGGACCATGGAGGCAAGTGAGGTAGGTTCTAAATCTCCATCACCCAGGTTGGAAGCCTTATTCTGTGCTTTCTAGGAAATTTGAAGCTTCGTTAAAATCTGTTGTTAGGATGCTGCCTTTAACAAAATCACAAGAAGCCTTCAAGATCTTCAGCAGAAAGATATTGGTGTGAAACCTGAGTTCAGGTAAGGGTTTGCACTGCAGCAGCTCAGCATCCTCAGAGGCAGGGCCCTCGGCAGCAGTGGCGGCAGGCTGATTTGACTTGGTTCATACTGAGGAGCAGTGCAGTTATTTGTGACCAAAGATAAAGCGCTGATGTTGGCAGATGACTGTGTTGTAGCTGTCACCCTCCTGCACCTGTCTGCCCACGAACCACCTGGATAGGAGCTAAAGGGGCTGTGATTTCCCACAGTTGGTCTCTAGGTGGGCACATAGCTCACCCAGGTGGGTTCTGTCCTCACCTGCCCATCCGAGGGAACCCTGCCAAAGAGACAACTCCTCTGAATTAATTTAAGTTTCATTAGGATAAAAAAATGTCTGAAGTGTTTATGTTTAAACTACTTATTTTTCCTTTGGGCTATTTCATTCTGGGGCTAAGGACTTTCGATTTTTCCCCCTCTAATTTTCTGGTGCTGCTGTCACTGGGCAGCCTGAATGAGACATTTGAAGCTGTTGTGTTTTGCCACTGACTTGAGTGAGATGGCTTCTGGGTTTCTATTTTTATTTTTCATTACTATGGTTTGTTATAAGAAATGTAAATCAGAGGTACATTATTAGACCAGAGAAAAAGGGCCCTTATGTTGTGCTTTTAAGTTGTCACTTGCCAAATTATTTTACAGCTTCAACATACCTCGTGCAAAGAGAGAACTGGCTCAGCTGAACAAATGTACCTCCCCACAGCAGAAGTTGGTTTGTTTGCGAAAGGTGGTGCAGCTCATTACACAGTCTCCTAGCCAGAGAGGTTTGTGCTGGGAAAGGGGCCCGGCAGGGGGGGTAGATGCATCCACCCAGAAGCAGAAGTCTGTTAAGGAGCAGTGCTGTCTTAAAGGATTTCACAACTTTCTACCTCTATTCTCAGTGATTAAACACGACCATAAAGATAGAACGGCTTTATTTACTAGTGTTTCAAGTGTTTCTTACACGTGTATAATCATTTCTTGGGAGTATATTTGCGTATGTTAAGAGATTTACCCAAATTAGACAGTTTTCTTGGAAGTATATACATGAATCTTCTGGAATTAAACTGTGTCATTCAAAAAACGCCAGCCATTCAGCTTCAGTTGTAAATATAAACAGTATTCTCTTCATTTATCCGCTTTATACACAAAGTCTGAGCTCTATCAACAGCAATTCTTAATGTTTGAAAGCAATTTCTAAGGAAAACACCATTGAAAGTACCATACAGATGGGCTGGTTTGTGCAGCCCAGCCTTCTAGCATGAGCGCCTTGGGGTCTGTGCTGATGAGTGAGTGCCTCCTAATGGGGTGGGGGTAGATGTGTCATGACTGTGGTAAGAAAATGGTGGCAGAGGAACAGCAGCCTCAGAAATGAGCCAAGCTGGTGATGGGTACATAGGGGTTCAAGCGTCCTTTAGACTGTTTGCACTCGTTTTGAATATGTTTAAAATTTTCCAGTATAAAAAGTTAAACAAAATAAACCAAGAAAAAAGTAATGAGGCAGATTTGTGTATGCAGATAGGGAATGATCTTAAAAGTATATTAAATGAAATAAACAGGAGTGTATGTGGCACACTTTCCTCTCTACAAGCATGTCCTTGGGTGAGGATTAAAAAAAAAAAAATAGGCTGCTTTCAGCATTGGCTCCACAGTGCATAAAGCAGAAATGACCTGAGGAGGAAGGAGGCTTTCAGCAGGGGCTCTGGCACACCTTCGCTTGTGTCCACTGTCACTGACCTCCTGGGATCTGCCCATCCAGGAAGGTGGCGCGGGGTGGTTTGCTTGGAGTTCCCTTCTCTTGTACATGTTCTGGGAATGCTAGGCCTTTGTGTTCCCCTTGGATCTGACATCTGTTCAGGATACTGTAAAGGAAATTGTGCAATTGAATTTCTCTCTGACGTGTAATCTTACTGGATTGTGGTTTTGTGGGTTGAATTGTGGTGAGGACTTGAAAGGATTGTTGGTCCATTTGAGTCTCATGATGACTTTGAACGTGTTTCCCCCTTGCAGTTAACTTGGAGACTATGTGTGCTGATGATCTGCTATCAGTCCTGTTATATTTGCTTGTGAAAACAGAGATACCTAATTGGTAATATTTTTTGTTAAAATCGTTTTTCAAATGGCAGTACTATACTATGGCAGTTTTAGTATAACTCTAGGAAAGTGAGCACCTCTCATGAGTCAGGTGCTATGCCTGCTCCACCTTCATTTGGCAGTGGGTGGCTCTCCTTCCATTTATAGATGGGAAACTGAGGTCCAGAGAGCTTACGTTTGTCATTCTGGAACATGCAGCTAGTCAGTGGCTGAGCAGGAAGCTGTGTGGTCCCAACGCTCATCTTCTTCCCATAGGAACCCACAGCTCACTTTACAATAATGAGCTTTCTAAAAAATAGCCTATTTCAGCCCAGTTGGTTGGGCATCATCCCGTACACTGAAAGGTTGCTGGTTTAATTCTCAGTCAGGGCTCATGCCCAGGTTGCAGGCTCAATTCCCTGGAGGGAGCGTGCAGGAGGCAGCTGATCCATGGTTCGCTCTCACATGTTCCCTCCCTCTCCCTCCCTCTCTCTCTAAATATCAATTTAAAAAATCTTTAAAAAAATAAATAAAAATTAAAAATAGCCTATTCCAGGAAAATAACAAGTAGTTTTATTTCTTTTCCTAATTACACACACTCTAAAATAGAGAGTGAGGGGTTAGCAGTCAGTGTTCCGCAGCTGATCCATGGTTCGCTCTCACATGTTCCCTCCCTCTCCCTCCCTCTCTCTCTAAATATCAATTTAAAAAATCTTTAAAAAAAATAAATAAAAATTAAAAATAGCCTATTCCAGGAAAATAACAAGTAGTTTTATTTCTTTTCCTAATTACACACACTCTAAAATAGAGAGTGAGGGGTTAGCAGTCAGTGTTCCCTGGAGCTAACCAAGTTCAGTCACCTGAGCCAATAGCCTTGTTTCTGCAAGTGTTAATTGTGTACAAGAATAAAACCTTTTTTTCCTTTTGTTAGGATGGCAAATTTGAGTTATATCAAAAACTTTAGATTTAGCAACTCGACAAAAGATGAATTGGGATACTGCCTGACCTCAGTTGAAGCTGCAATTGAATATATTCGGCAAGGAAGCCTCTCTGTCAAACCGCTGGTAAGACCCCTCCTCCCTTGGTCTTTCTGTGGGGGTGTCACTGCACATTGATAGGGTTCTGAGGTCGGTGTGGAGGGGTGAATTCTTCAGTGGTCCCTGGGAATGGGGCCTCAGCTGTTTACAGGCCCTGAGCCCGGACAGCAGCCCAGCACACTGAACACTGAGCTCCTGGTTTGGCTGTGGAAGCTTGTGGGTTTTCCTCGGGACTTACATATCCTGCTTCACTGGTCCTCGGCATCCTCAAAAGCATGGCAGAGGGGAAGCGAGAAGCAGTGACTTTGGATGTCTTGACCATATAGGCAAGAAATGAGGTTAATGTGTGCAATGTTAGGGCTCAGTGGCCTTATTATTACTTTCTAGGTTGGTTGGTGAGCTTTGGCTAAGGAGAAGAGATTATATTTCTTTGTGAATTGTGAGAATCTTAAACCAAGATTGAATTGCTGGCTTATTTCACTGCATACCAACCAGCAAAATGTGACAGTACTCACAGAAATCACAAAGTTAAAATTAATAAAGTGAAGAGATTTCTGTATTGAGTTCTGAGGATTAAACTTTATGTGATCCTAATTTTCTACTGATGTTAGAATCTCCCAAAATAATAAGTTAAAACATCTGGAAAAGAGCACAAGCCTGTCCAGGCAGGTGCACTTGGGTAAAAGCTGGTTCTCAGAATTCATTTATCATTAACATGTTTATTTTTTATTGTTGTTTTTGTTTTATGTTTTTGTTGATTTCAGAGAGAGGAGGAGGGAGGGAGAAAGATATAGAAACATCACTGCTGAGAGAGAATCATTGACCGGCTGCCTCTTGCATGCCCTCTACTGGGAATCGAATGGTGACCTCCTGGTTAATGAGTTGATGCTTAACCACTGAGCCATGTTTATGTTTTTTCCCAAAAAGAATAAATTTTATTTTTTTCTGATTAGAAGACTACTGTTTGCTTATAAACAACATTTGAAGGGAACAAAAACCTCTTGTAAACTCACTAGGTGGGGGTAACTTTTATTAACATTTGGGTATATGTCTTTTTTCAGTGCCATATAATTGTATTTTTAACCAAAATTTGAGATTATGCTGCACTTGTTGGCACGTAGCCCAATAGCATCATGGTGCAAGTTCTGCTCTTGTCTGGGTTTTGGTTTGATCTCCCACATGTAAGCAGGTGAAATTAGAGGCTGTCCAGCTCTTCTCAGATGTGGTTGGCTGTGACTCTTGTGGAAAGGTGCTTCTCATTTAGGGGGAAATCACTCACATTCTAGAAGGGCCATGTGTGCACTCCACATGCACAGGTGTCTGCAGAATCAGTTGTCACTCACTCCCATAGTAACGAAGTAAGATTTCTTAGTTTGAAAATCGTCTTCTGTGAGGTTCCAGAAATGTGGTGTGTGTTTTTTTCACTTTATGTGATCATAGTTAAATATTCTATTTTTCTTTCAATTTTATTTTGTATTGGTTTTCGATGGATATCATAGTGTTTAGACAATCATATACTTTACATAGTGTTCCCCTCGATCTTTCCAGTACCCAACTGATACCAAACATAATTATTACAATATTATTGACTACATTTCCTATGCTGTACTTTACATCCCCATGGCTGTTTTGTAACTACCAATCTGTACTTCTCAGTCCCTTCACCTCTTTTACCCAGTCTCCCAAGCCCTTCTCCCCTCTGGAAACCACCAGTCCGTTCTCTGTGTCTATGAGTCTGTTTCAGTTTTGTTTGTTCACTTATTTGTTCTTTAGATTTTACATATAAGTGAAATTGTATGGTATTGTGCTCATCAATAGACAAGTGGATAAAAAAGCTGTGGTGTATATATACAATGGAATATTACTCAGCCATAAAAGAGAATGAAATCTTACCATTTGCCACAGCATGGAAGGACCTAGAGGGTATTGTGCTCAGTGCAATAACTCAGTCTAGGAATGTGTTTTCCTGTGGTGCCTGCAGTGGTTTTGTGATGGTCCTGCCCTTCTGGTTCTTTCCCTCTCATCCGTCTGAGAGGTCACTCCCTTCCTGGCTCTACCACCCTGCAGAGGAATTGCCTGATGCTCCTTGATGGGGCCAGAAGCGCCCTGTCACCTGGAAGGAGGTATCCACCTCTTGAAGGTGCTCCTGTCCCCTTCCTGCCCCCATACTATACTGTGACCATCTTGCTTTCTTATTTTCCATGTGGGCAGGAAGGCCAACACTTGAAGGCCTTTGGCCAGGGTGTAAGAAAGTGGCTGACCAAACAGTGTCAGTTGAATTTTTTTTTAATCTTCACCCGAGCATATGTTTTTTTCATTGATTCTACAGAGAGAGGAAGGGAAAGGGAGAGAGAGAGAGAAAGAGATGATTGGTTGCCTCCTATTCAAACCAGGGATTAAACCCACAACCTAGATATGTGCCCTGGACAGGAATTGAACCCTTCAGTGCATGGGACGACACTCAACCAACTGAGCCACACTGGCCAGGACTCCATGCCTACTTCTACTTCAGAAAATATTCCAAGTGACAGGGAAGAGGGGGTGCAGGTGGAGGTGGAAGAGAGTATAAGGGGAATAAATGGTGATGGGGGAAAAAATAAAGGAAAAAAAGATTCCAAGTGGGATTGGGGGAGTGTTTGAGGAGTAGTCCTTCTTGTGCTGGTGTTGGTTTGAGTCCAGCACTTCTGTTTGTCTCTCTAAGCCTCTGTCCATCTTCTGGTCTATACTAAGGATAATGTATATTTTACCCCTTACTCGGTAGTTAAGAGACTCAAATGGAATATTCGAAAGTGCCTTTTTGAATTGTGAGGTGATACTGGTGCCCTTAGTTACTCTTCTAATGCCTCTGCATGTGGGTGTCTTTGTCTCCTGGTTCTTGGGTGCATTCTGCATGGATGGGCAAGGGGGTGTGTAACACAGCCCAGGGTGGTCCTCTAGTCAGGGGTGTCTGACCCTGGTTCTGCCTTTCTGGATGAGAGGTGGTTAGTCCCATCAAATGATGGGACAAGGTGTGTATCATCTGGCTTGCTGGGAAGCCTGTCCCTTGGGTCTTGAGTGGGTCAGGCCTGAGAGATGCTCTTTACTTTATTGACAGAGCAGGTGTTGTGGCTTCCTGTCTTTTGTGATACCATTGTTGGGATTCCATCTGTGATATCACCTCTGCCTAGCTGCCAACTGAGTTCTTTGCAGTAGTGCAGTTCCCTCTAGGAGTGTTCAAGGCCACTGTTATGTACTGGTGTCGTTCGTTTTCTAGGGAAAGAGCCCAAGAGTATCTTCATACAGTAGGCGAGGTTTCTGAAAATCATTAAAGACCAAATATTAGTAAATTGAATTCTGTCTTACTCTCGACTCTTTATATAATGTAGTTTCATAGAAATTTTCTCCCAAAGATAGAATCATACTTGAGATGACCATAAACATTCTTTAAGCATAAAGACTTTTAGCTTTTATTTTTTTGTAATTTTTGTTTTTGAATAGCATGACTGACTATTTTTCTATTGCCGTTGATATTCAATATTATTTTATATTAGTTTCGGGTGTACAGTATAACAGGTGCCTTTATTTTATTTATTTATTTTATTATTTATCTATGCATTTATTGGTTGACTCTTGTATGTGCCCTGACTAACTGTCGGGCCAGGGCCCACAACTTTTAGCTTTTTAAAAAAAACATTAGTGGGATGACTCTAGTTTCACTTTTGTGGGCAGAAAAGCCAGGAGAGAGAACCCTGGAAGCATCTGTACCCTCTGCTCTAGCTTTTCAGGCTCTGGTTTTTCTCACTTGACCAGGTTGCTAATAAGTAGTGTTCACCCCATTCCCGAGTAGGGCTTCTCTCACATGCTATTCTTCTGGCAGCTCATTTTTCCCTGAAGATTCAGTCCTAGAAGACTTGCCTCTCTTCATTGCTGCCCTTGAAATAGTTCCCCAGAGTTGAGGAAAGAACACCGAATTTACCTCGACAGTAATGTCTTTGATGTTTCTCTGACCCTAAGCTGCTCAGCTATGAATCACTGAATAAAACTGATAGAGCATTCATAGCTTATAACAGCTGGGAGCTAAAGTGGCTCTAATGCCGAGGTGTTGTTGTTTGTTTGCCAAGTTAACCCTCTGAGGGCAGTCTTAACAGCAGACCCCAGAAATGGTCCGCTCCTCGAGATGCTGTCAGCTCTGTCTTAGCTGGACCTGTAAGTCAGAACTTAGAGAGCCTTATTCTAAAGTTTTATCTGGGTTGGTGAGTTATTCTGGCAGCAACTGGCTGGAAAAAAAATTCCCTTTACCACCCACAAAGACTCTTTTTAAGGAAGTTAATTTGTCATTAGACAGTTTAGTAGCAGGTGCTCAACTGAGCATTATTAAAGTATCCTGCTAGAAATTATTTCATAAAATAAAGATAGGTAGGAGAAGGTATAGGGGGGATAAATGGTGACGGAAGGAGACTTGAAGTGGTGAACACACAATACATATACAGATGATGTGTTATAGAATTGTACACCTGAAATCTATATAATTTTGTTGGCCAATGTCACCCCAATAAATTCAATAAAAAAGAAAAAGTAAGGGTACATTATTAGATTTTTGTATCTAGGTAATCATAACTTTATTCAATGGGGTAGAACCCAATATCCTATTGGACTTGGGGCCAATGGCCCTATTGTTTGCTATTTTAATAAATATGTTCAAAAACTAAGACTCCTCTCAGACGCCCCCCTTGCAATTGAGAAATATAGACCATCTGTCAGATGGTTTTCCTGCCTGTAGGCTGCAGATAAAATGGCAGGCATAGGGCTGTGCAGGTAGGACAGAAGTTTGAGAGGAGAAGGAGGCCAGCACAGTCCAGGTTCCGTCTGGAGGAGGATGGTGTGTGCATGCAACATTCCACACTTAGAGATGACACATTCCACACACGCGCAGCCAGTGTGCCGCCACTCTCCCAGAGCCCCCCTGGAAAACAGTCATCAGAGCTACCATTTCCTGGAGAAACAGATAGGAAGCCCTTCTCCCAGCCTGATGAGGGTCAGCTCTCTGGCTCAGTGAAAGGGGGAGAGAGGAGCGTGGGATAAAACAAACTGTTGGGCCCTAACCGGTTTGGCTCAGTGGATAGAGTGTTGGCCTGCGGACTGAAAGGTCCCGGGTTCGATTCCGGCCAAGGGCATGTACCTTGGCCGCCACTCTCCCAGAGCCCCCCTGGAAAACAGTCATCAGAGCTACCATTTCCTGGAGAAACAGATAGGAAGCCCTTCTCCCAGCCTGATGAGGGTGAAAGGGGGAGAGAGGAGCGTGGGATAAAACAGACTGTTGGGTTTTCCTGCAGGAGTCTGAGGGATTTGGTGACAGACTGTTCCTTAAGCAGAGAATGAGCTTACTGTCTCAGATGACTTCAACTCCCATTGACTGCCTGTTTAAGGTAAGACACCACAAGTCTTTCTTTGTGAGGAGCACACCATCTTTCAGCATCTCTAGCATCTCTACAGAATCCACATGGTGTTCTGTGTAGTTAAACACTGAAATTCGCCTTGTGCTCAGGGTGGTAGGGATGTGAGGTTTTACAGGTGAAATCAGCACGTATGCTCATCTCCACAGCGTGTGCTATGTGATGGCTGCGCTGGATGGTTCACCGAGGGCCCAGGGCCTCCACGTGTGGAACCCTCTGCCCCAACTGTCTTCCTTTCTCCACTCGACAAAACACAGTTTGTCCATAGGCCAGTTCAGTGGTACCTCACTGGGGGCCCCACAGAGTTGATGCCTCTTATCAGTTTCAGGAGCCCCACATCTCAAGTGTCTGAGTGCGATTGCCCTGCGCTCGGAGCGTACTGCGTGGTGATGGTTTGATCATGTGGCAGCACATGCACCCAGCTCCCCGCTTAGATCTGTTCAACCACTGGGAGGCTGTCGAGGTACCCACTGGGCAGTAAGCGAGGACTAGGAGAGGGCAGATCTCCCCAAGAGGAGAGTGGGTTCCCGGAGCCAGAGTGGGTTCCATGGAGGCCCAGAGCACCTCCTGGGACAGTGTGCTCCCCAGAACATCTCACTCCCTTGGGGAACACATCCAGGAATCACAGGGGTGAGCCCTGCAGGCTTGGTTGTTGATGGTGTTTCCTGCTGATTGCAACTGTTTCCTCCCTCACCCCCCAAGCCAAGGTCTGTCAGATATAAGAGGGCAGGACCCAGACTTGTTCTAGTAAGATTCTGAATTCTGAATGTATTGCTTCTCTACTCCTGTTGCTTTGGGAAGTTTGTCATGTTGTCATTTTTTTTATTATGGAAAATTTCTTACATTTACAAACTACAAAAATAAAAGATTAGTGTCATGGACAGGCTCCATATAGCCATCTCCCAAACTTAGTTCATCTCTGCCCTTACCCCCTTTCCCTATTCACCTGGATTATTTTGAAATAAATCCCAGAGAGAAAACCAATTCATCCATCTATATATTAGTGTTTCTGCAGCACTCAAAAAATTCACACCTTAAAAAGCACATTTCTTAATACTGATCGTATCTTTGATGTCACTTCTCAGCACATTGCTTCAGGTAACCAGAAAGAAGTGGAAAGACTTCTGAGCCAAGAAGACCAAGATAAAGATGCCATCCAAAAGATGTGCCACCCCCTGTGCTTCTGTGATGACTGTGAGAAACTTGTCTCTGGGTAAGAGAGTCCTCATGGAGGCTCCGTGTGCCAGGAAGCAGGATACTCGGGGCTTCGGTGGAACTTTTCTACTTCTTTGCCATGTGATTTTGAATGAGGCACTTATCCTGGATGCACTCAGCTTCCTCTGCCGTAAAGTGGAGACTCTAATCTCTGCCTCTTTGGAGCATTAAATGGAATAAAGGTCCTGAAAGTACTTGGCACGCTGCTGGGCTGGATACAGAATAGGCAGATATAGGGCCTGCCCAGCCTCGGCAAGTGTGTTTAGGATGGGAGAATGCCAACTTCCCCCAGTAACCCTTTCTGGTCTCCCCTTAACCTCATCAGGCTATTTTGCTGGGTGTCAAGGCCTAGAGGGTGGGGTGGCCGGGAGGGACACTAGATGCCTCAGTTCCTCACCCTGTGAGCAGGGACTGGATTCTCTCTAGGACACTATAAGAGAGGCCCAGTTTGGATCATACCCTGAGATCTGTCTTCCAGTCCTAAGACCCTGGCATGGCCGGCCTTGTCAGGAGGAGGCTTTGCCCTGCCGTTCCTAGGGTGTCTTTCTCTGTATCTTTTCTCTGTTTTAGGAGGCTGAATGATCCTTCAGTTGTCACTCCATTCTCCAGAGATGACAGGGGTCATACACCACTCCATGTGGCTGCCCTCTGTGGTATGTGGTCTTGGGTGGGCCTCTGAGGGTTGCCAAGGAAAGGGGATGGAGCCAAGGATGGCCCAGCAGAGGCCTGAGGCCTGGCCGACAGGTGCAGTGGAGTCGGGGTGTGGAAGAGGCTGTATCATGGGCCACCGCCGGTGGCTTCGTTGGAAGAGAAGAATAGCAGACGTTCTCCAGGCCTTCCTGTGCTGCTCCCGGGCTTATCTGTGCTCTCACTGTCCTGGCCGGTGGTCCAGGGAGGGAAGGCTTGAGTCTGAGCTATGAGAATGATCTTAGAATTGGGGTTCTTATATCCTGCTTTTATTTTATTTTTTTAATTTTTTCATTAATTTCAGAGAGGAAGGGAGAAGGAGAGAGAGATAGAAACCATTAATCAGAGAGAACCATTAATCATTAATGAGAGAGAACCATTAATCAGCTGCCTCCTGCATGCCCCCCACTGGGGATTGAGCCCGCAATCTGGGCATGAGCCCTTGACCAGAATCGAACTCAGGACCCCCCAGTCCACAGGACGACGCCCCATCCACTGAACCAAACCAGCCAGGGCTTACATCCCGCTTTTAAAAAGTAACTTTTAAAGTGCACAAAGTAGAAAACACAAACCTCTCCAGTATCACCTGCCATCCTTCTGTCTCCCAGATATAATTTTGATTTATGAGTATCTGGAATTTCCCTGTGCTTGTGTGTATATGAATATAAAGCATATGATATTGTGGGGACCATACTGTTCTATACTGTGCTTTTTTCACTCGGTGATATATAAGAACATTTCTCCTTGTCAGTATTTTTTAATGGTTGCACAGTATTCATCTTATGAATTGATGAACCATGGAATCTTCTGTGGGTGTCCTGAGGCTCTTTTCCAGTACCTTCTCTTGCTGAGAAGTAGATTGGAACTGAGTCCCTGCTAAGAGGCACCCCAAAGTGCCCAGAATCTGCAGAGCCTGACTTGATGTTAGCTCTGGTTCCTCTCAAGCAGAAAAGTTCCTTCTGCCCTGGCTCATGCCAGGGAACAAGAGGGTAAAATAATGTTGTGGCTTCACACTTAGGGTGTGAAAGCCTCTTGTCTTTCTCCATTATGAAGTCCTTCTGTTCTGTAGGGCAGGCATCCCTCATTGACCTCCTGGTTTCCAAAGGCGCTGTGGTGAACGCCACGGACTATCACGGGTCAACTCCACTTCATCTTGCGTGTCAGAAGGGCTATCAGAGCGTGACGGTGAGCAGGCGGTGACGGCACCACCAGTGCATGTGCTCGAACGAGCTGGGCTCTGACTGACTCCAGTCGTGGCTGTGCTCCTCTGTCCCACCGGCTGCAGCTGCACAGCGAGGCTGCGAGTCTGCAGCTCCTCCACCCCTGGACAAAACTGTGAGGTCTAGACTATCAGGACAGAAATTTTAGGACTTGCTTTCCTAAAATGTCCTGATAATCTGGGGGTAGCGGGGTGGGCATGTACTTTTTTTTTTTTTTATCTCGAAACATTTTTATCCCTAAGGAAGGATGAGACTGATGTCATTTATGTGTAGAATGGGCAAATAAGATTGAAAATGGAAACAAGTGACCTCCCCCTTACTCACCTGCTTTCTCCTCCCCTTTGCAAGCTGCTGCTGTTGCACTACAAGGCCAGCGCTGATGTGCAAGACAATAACGGCAACACCGCTCTCCACCTGGCCTGTGCTCATGGCCACGAAGACGTAAGTGGTGCTTGCTGTCCCTGGCTGTGTTCACCCTTTCTCTCTCGTGAAGAAATGTGAATTTTAATCAGTTTAGTATAGTGTGCTTTGTGTTGATAATTATTGAACAATTTGGTGTGTAATGTTTTTAATTAAAAAATTTTAAGTTTATTAGAGAAGCTATGTTGAAATAACAAACCTGGAACTTAATTGCTCATTATCTGTCATAAAATTAAGTTATTTCCATTCATCCCTGCTACCATCTGACTCTTACTTTTGTTCATATTCAATTTCTATCTTTTACTTTTTTATAGTAATATCAAGGAATTTCATAATTTTCATTTTCACTTAATATTTAACAGTGTGTTTTATTTTTTCCTAACTATTCTCTCTCCCCCTTCTCTTCATAGTAACATACAAGTAGTTTTATACATACACTAGAGGCCCAATGCACAAAATTCGTGCAAGAGTAGGCCTTTCTTCCCCCAGCTGCCGGCACTGGCTTCCCTCTGGCACCCGGGACCCAGGCTTCCCTCACAACTCCGGCTTCATCCAGAAGGTTGTCCGGAAGGATGTCCGTGAAGGACGTCCGCTCTAATTAGCATATTACGCTCTTATTATTATAGCTAGGGTTGAAGCTGGGTTAGGTGGGTGATGTATAAAAACGAGATCTTACCCTACACATTTTTATGCAACTTGCTTTCCTAACTTAACAATACATTATGGAAATTCTCTAGATCAGTAAATCTAGCCTGTCTTTCATCGCTGCAGTAATCAGTTATGTGTGTTGCATCAGTGTTCCTAAGACTGCCCGTTGACTCAGTGAGTTGTGACAACACCTATGAAATATTATCTACCAGGGCAGCTCATTGCGCCACTCGGGCCACATTTTATTGGAGGCCGGTCATGTAAACACCCTCTGCCTGGCATGTACCAAAATGTCAGACTCCCAGAAGGAAAGCAGGTGTTCAGTACCAACCACATTGTTGTACAACAGGTTGGGCACAGTGAGCCCCTCTTATCAGGTAGGGGACTTATACACACCCTAAATCCAAGCTCCCAAGGAATACTGCAAGTCAAGGGCCAACCTTGCAGTCAGGCCTTTCAAGGGACTGTGGTCTCGGGCCTGCTGTGGTCATTCCTTTCTGCACATGGATACGTCACAATTTATTCAGCCACGTCTAACTGACGGACCTTTGAGTTCTTTGAGAAAGTGAGGTGTCCTGATCGGGTACTCTGGAGCCCTTGGGTTCCCTCTCTGTTACTGTGCAGTTGCTTGGTTAGTGGAGCCTTGATTAAGCTGGGACCTGGATCTAAGCTGTGGAGTGCATGGATGTTGCCTGGGGCTTAGCATGTGAGATAATGGTGGCATCTCCCAATTTCTTTGCAGTGTGTGAAGGCTTTGGTCTACTACGATGTGCAATCATGCAGACTAGATATTGGTAATGAGAAAGGAGACACTCCCCTACACATAGCTGCACGCTGGGGTTACCAGGGCATCATAGAGACGTTGCTACAAAATGGAGCATCCACAGAGATCCAGAACAGAATGAAAGAAACGCCCCTCAAGTGTGCGTTAAACTCAAAGGTAGATTTTTTTTTTTTTTTTTCGGAAAAGGACTATGACTTTAAAAACAAAATCAGTGTCTACAGATTGGGTCTTGGCTATGCTGGACAAATTGCGTTAGTGCCTGAGGGCAGGACTTGGCCTGTACCCTCTCTGCTGCGTTTGGGACCTGGTGGTTAATGGGTTTTTACTTATTTATGTTATTATGAGTTGTTCTTTGTGTTGTTCTAAGAGCTACTCCCAGCAGACTTTGCCCCAGCCTCTGAGTACTGTTGCCTTATGAGCAAATGGAGTGGGTAAAACGGGAGAGTATCTCTGACTGGCAGAAGCGGGGAAAAGGAGTGGGGCATGGAAGCAATAAGGGATGTCGCTTCATCTTCAGCTTCTAAAAACCTTATCCTTATCCTGATTTGGCCAATTTTGAGCTTCATTGGGTATTACTTCTTTCAAAAGTGATTTGTTAATGAACTACTCATCCTTTCCTAGGAGTAATGTCTGGGAGCATTCAGTTTTTGACAACATGTAAAAGTGCTCACTTCCTGAGTGAGTGGGGAGTGGAGGGCTTAGAGAAACCATTTCTTTGAACCTCATCTCCCAGCAGGTTGAAGGCATGCCTTCAGCGAAGTGTGGTCGGCCAGCTGGCCAGAGAAAGCTGAGCCATGTGCAGTGGAAGGTCCCAGGTCATCAGGTTGATGTGTCTAGAACATCACTAATTTGTGGCTCACAGAAATGATTCCATTTTATATATTTTATTTTTTAATCCTCACCTGAGGATATTTTTCATTGATGAGAGAGAGAGAGAGAGAGAGAGAGAGAGAGAGAGAGAGAAAGGTAAGAGAGAAACATCAATTGGTTGTCTCCCATACACACCCCAACCGGGGATCGAACCCGCAACCTGGGTATATGCCCTGACTGGGAATTAAACCTGCTACCCTTCAGTGCATGGGATAATGCTTTAACCAAAGAGCAATACTGGTCAGGGCAAACATTTCCTTTTTTTGTTGCTGTTATTAATCCTCACCCGAGGATATTTTTTCATTGATTTTTAGGGAGAGTGGAAGAGAGTGGAAAAGACAGAGAGAAACATCAATGTGAGAGAAACACATTGATTAAGGTTGCCTCCTGCACAAGCCCTGACCAGGGCCTGGGCCGGGGAGGAGCCTGCAACTGAGGTATGTACCCTTGATTGGAATCGAACCTGGGACCCTTTGGTCTGCAGGCTGACACGCTATCCACTGAGCCAAACCAGCTAGAGCAAATGATTTGATTTTAATACAAGCCTCCTGTTGTCTCCCTCTGCACAGGCCTTGCTTTCTGCTTCTTGATGTTTTCAGCTTCCTTTTAGTTTCTGACTCTCTTCTAGGGAAGCCTTTCAGTTTATGTCATCTTCTAAACTACTTTATTGAGGTATGATTGACATACAAAGAGTTGTACATATTTCATGTACAGGCACACCTAGGAGATAGCAGGTTTGGTCCCAGACCACTGCAAGATAGTGAGTCATAAACTTTTTGCTGTTGGAGAGTCTTGCCTTCAATTTGTAAAACACACAACATCTATGAAGTACAATATAGCAAAGCACAATAAGATGAGGTACACCTGTACACAACTTGATGCATTTGGAGATACATACATACCTGTGAGACCATCACCACAATCTGTGCTATAAACATATCCATCACCTTCAAAAGTTTCCTCTCGTCTTTATTATTATGTTTGTGTGTGACAAGAACACTTAACATAAGCTCTACAGTGGCACCGTTTTTGAAGGTGAAATCCCTGCTCCTGACCGCTGAGCCATTCTTCCTGTGCACTCACAGGGTCTCTGCTCTGTAGCAGCCACAGCTGATGGACTGGGTGGTGCTACCTGTGGCCTGAGATGCCAGGAGCTGAGGGTTTCTCTGCCCCTGTATCTTCTCCCAAAGGCCCCTTCCTAAGGGAGGTCTCAGAGAGAAGGAGACAGCTGCCTGCTTGGGTTTGCTCTGAGCTGCTCGTGGTGCCAGTGAAAAGGCCACACTTTATTCCTGTGGACAAATAGCCGGGGGCTAGATAAGGCAGCCTTTGAGGCCCGTTCTGTGGCTGGGCTTCTCTTGTCCTCTGAGCCCATGCATGGGAAGCACCAGCTCCTCTGCCAGGCAGCAGGAGTGTGGTGTGGCAGGAGGAAGCCCAGACTTACTCATTGTGGTTCTGAGCGAGTTCCACCAGCCGTGGTTTCCCTGTCTCTCCAAGGGCATGGCTGAGCTGTCTGCCCTTCTGAGGAGATAGGCAGTCAGTGGGGTTTTATGGGTGATGCTTTAGTGACCCATCTCATTCAGTACTTTGCTTGTCCCCTTTGTCCTCCTAGATTCTGTCTATAATGGAAGCCCGTCACATGTCCTTTGAAAGGAGACAACAGTCTTCAGCAGTAAGTGAATAGGGCGGTAGTCCTTGGCCCTATTTATGACCAGAGCATCCTCTTTGGCCCTCACCTGTCTCTTCTCTTGTCATGCTCCCTTGCTGCAGGTCCCTGTGCCACCCCCTCAACACTTCATGGATTCCATCAGCCAGGGGTCCTCCGCCTCCAGCTTCTCCTCTGTGTCCACCAGCTCCAGAAAAAGGGAGCCCAAGAAGGACTACAGAGAGGTGAGGCCCCAGGTGGGAGGAAGGTCTGTGAAGCCCTGTATATGGCTCTGGTTAAAGAGTCAGGGCCTGCCCTAACTGGTTTGGCTCAGTGGATAGAGCATCAGCCTGCAGAGTGAAGGGTCCCGGGTTTGATTCCAGTCACAGGCACATGCTCAGATTGTGGGCTCAATCCCCAGTAGGGGGCATGCAGGAGCGAGCAGATCAATGATTCTCTCTCTCTCATCATTGATGTTTCTATATCTCTCCCCCTCTCCCTTCCTCTCTGAAATCAATAAAAATATATTTTAAAAAAAAAAAGAGTCAGGGCCTGACGAGGGCCACCTAGTTGACCTGACCACCATAACCAGGTCAGCCTCATCTGCTGTGGCCAAGGTCGGTGCCTGGAGAGGAGCCCAGATGTTCTCACCTGCTTGCCCTTCATGGTCAGCTCCCTCAGCAGCTCTTTGCTTTGTGGACAATGTGTGTGTGTGAGAAAGAGAATAGCCTAAGAAAAGTATAAGTAAAGTCGCCTATAGGTCCACTGATATAAGATCATTTTACAAAGCAAATTTCCTCTGCCCCTACCTCCCACTCCACAAGCACCTCTGTTAGCTTGATGTGGGTCCTTCCTGACTCCTTACAAAGTTTATATAGACACTAGAGGCCCGGTGCACGAAATTCGTGCACGGTGGCGGGGAAGGGGGCGTGTCCCGCAGCCCGGCCTGCACCCTCTCCAATCTGGGATCCCTCTCGCAATCCAGGACCACTGGCTCCTAACCACTCACCTGCCTGCTTGCCTAATGCCCCCAACGGCCCTCCCCTGCCAGCCTGGTCGCTCCCAACAGCCCTCCCCTGCAGGCCTGGTTGCCTCCAATGGCCCTCCTCTGCAGGCCTGGTCCCCCCCCACTGCCCCCCCCTGCCAGCCTGATCTCGCCCCCAACTGCCCTCCCCTGCCGGCCTGGTCACACCCCCAACTGCCCTTTCCTGCTGGCCTGATCATGTCCCCAACACCCCTCCCCTGCTGGACTGATCTCACCCCCAACTGCCCTACCCTGCCAGCCTGGTCGCCTCCAACTGCCCTCCCCTGCCTTCCTGATCTCCCCCAACCCCCTGCCAGCCTGATCTCACCCCTAACTCCCTGCCAGTCTGATCTTACCCCTAACTGCTCTCCCCTGCCAGCCTGATCTCGCCCCTAACAGCCTCTGCCTCAGCCCCCATCACCATTGCTTTGTCCGGAAGGAAGTCAGACGTACGGAAGATGGCCAGTTGACCCGGTCTAATTAGCATATTACCCTTTTATTCTATAGATTTATATACACTCACACATTGCATCTAGTAAAAGCTGATTTATAGCCTGGGATTTGTTTTTTGCATTTAATCTGTCTTAGAGTTTGCTCAGTGTCAGCCACAGAGTAGACCGTAGCATGGATGTGCCACAACTCCTCTGCTCATTCCCCTGTGGGTGGGGACCCTCACTGACCCTACCTAAGACCCCTCCTCCCATGTTATCCTCAAGCCCTGACCTGCTCATGGATAACCCAGCAAGCTTGGCTCAGTGCAAAAGCACAGCAAAGAAAACCAAGAGGCACTCTCCAGAGTCTAACAGAGACCTGGGATCATCCTTGGGAGGGATGTCCCCCTTACTAGTATGTACCCTCAGCTAGCAGATAATGATAGCTGAATATATGTGGTTCTAAAGGTGGCTGACCTAGGGAGTGCTTGTGCTTCAAGGTGGCCCTCATCTCACTCTGACACATGATAGCAGTGTCATTTTATAGACCAGGGGTCCTCAAACTTTTTAAACAGGGGGCCAGTTCACTGTCCCTCAGACCGTTGGAAGGCCGGACTATAGTTTAAAAAAAAACTATGAACAAATTCCTATGCACACTGCACATATCTTATTTTGAAGTAAAAAAACAAAACGGGAACAAATACAACATTTGTATTTGCATGTGGCCCGCGGGCCATAGTTTGAGGACCCCTGTTATAGACCTTGCATGGCAATGGGCTCAGAGCACATCAGCACCTCCTCGGATGTCTGTCTGAGCAGTTTTAGGGATATGTTTGAAAGCTACTGAATCAAGACTCCAAATTAAGAAACGAAAGCTACTAGGCTTTTAGAAAGGTGATTTCTTTTAATTTTTTTTCTCATTTACTGAGAGAGACAGACAGACAGACAGACAGACATCAATTTGTTGTTCCACTTATTTATGCATTCACCAACTGATTCGTGTATGTGCCCTGACCGGAGCTTAAACCCGCAACCTTGGCATATTGGGATGATGCTCTAACCAACTGAGCTACCTGTCCAGGGCTTCTTATTTTTATTATTGTTTTATTAAACTTATTTTTCTAACATTCTTTTTTCTTTTATTAAGGTAGAAAAACTTTTAAGAGCAGTTGCTGATGGAGATTTAGAAATGGTGAGTTTGTAGAAGTGCATTTTACAAAGCTTGCTCTCGGTTCAGTTAGGAGCTGTGTGGCTTTGTTGTTCACTTTCACATAGAAGGTGGTGCACTTAATAAATATTTGGTAATGGCAATGTGACCTTTCCACCACAAATAATGAGGCGAGTGGACATAAAGCTGCATAGTGAGCATGTCCCTGCCTCTTAGACATTCATATTCTGGGAAGGTAGTGAGATGTTGGCAAGAGACTAGCCCGCACCCAGGTCTCAAAGTATGGGCTCAAAGCCTGACACGTTAGCTGGGAGCAAGGTGAGCACACAGGGTAGTGGGTGAGGAGGGGGTGGTGGAGGCGAGAGCAGAGCTCAGAGGGTGTTAGGTGGCCCTGCAGAAGTTGTGGACACCTGGGACACCTGGGCCAGGAGGCTGAGATCTGAGGCTTGGGGCCCCAAGGAGTGAAGCAGGTGCCAAACAAGATGGTGCTGACTGATCTGGGTTGGAACCTGTTGAGGATGTCCTGCAGGGAGGGAAGGTGTCTGTCCTAACCCACAGTGTCAGGTGACGGGGAACATCTATGATGAGATCACTTGAGAGTAGAGACAGCCTTCATGAGATTCCCACAGGCAGTTTCCCTGGCTTGCCTTTGGTTTCCTGAAAGGGATTTGTTTTGCATTCAAAGGAGGAGTCAGTTAGGTGCTTAGCAAACTTCTTCCTTTTGTGGGTAGGTGAGAGGACAGACCACTCATGAAAGAGGTGAGCAGAGACCAACTGTCCAATGCCCTGGGGTCCCCATCCAAATTAATCTACTCTTGCGATAGCTTCCAACCTCCTGCCCGGGACCACCTCAGCTCCCCGCCCCCATTCTTGTTCCCTTCTTCTCATCAAGAGAAGCTGCCCTCAGTCTCAGCTAACCTGCTCAGTGAGGCCCCTCAGTCAAGGCCTTTGGTGTTTCCACCCTGACCAAGTGTCTGTCATCTTGGATAGAAGGGACCTCGAAGAGAGAAGCTTGGGGTCAAAGAGGGGTTCCTGAAACCTTTTGTCAGTCTCGCAGGCATATGCTGACTTCCTCAGTGCTGAGAACCAGGCCTAGATATATAGTTAGAATGTTTTCTCAAATTTAATATCTTAGAAACGTTTCTTTACTGGAACATACATTTGACCTATTTGGGGGTCTTTTCAGTGCTCTCACCTGTGAGCTAGTGCATTTAGTGGAAAGGACACTGGGATAGAGTTCCAACCGCAACTTAATAGTTGTGTGGCCCTGAACAAGTTATTGACGTCTTGAATGCGTTTTCTCCCAGGTGAAAAGGGAAGGGCTGGTTGGAAAGTGTACAGTTAGATCAAAGAGGATGTGCTTATTAAATGCTCCAGGGCCAGGATTTTCAAGCAGCACCACTCTGCTCCTTTTTAGAAGATAGAAGAAAAGAGAACCAAGATGGCGGTGTAGGTAAAGGCCAGTACTTGCTGCCCCCCACAGCCACATCAAAATTACAAGTAAAATACAGAACAACCATCATTCAGAACCATCTAAAAGCTGGCTGAATGGAAGTCCTACAACTAAAGAAGTAAAGAAGAAAGCACTTTGAGACTAGTAGGAGGGATGGAGGCACAGAACAGGCTGGTCTGACACCCAAGTGTGCCAGTTTTTGTTTTGTTTTGTTTAATTTTTTTAATCCTCATCCAAGGATGTTTTTTCATTGATTTTTAGAGAGAGTGAAAAGAAAGGGAAAGACAGAGAGAAATATCGATGTGAGAGACACACATCGATTGGTTGCCTCCTGCACAAGCCCTGACCAGGGCCCGGGCTGGGGAGGAGCCTGCAACTGAGGTACAGGCCCTTGACCGGAATCGAACCTGGGACCTTTCAGTCCACAGGCCAATGCTCTATCCACTGAGCCAAACCAGCTAGGGATGTGTGCCATTTTTTTTTTAATCCAGAAGGAAATTATCCCTGTGGAGGCCGCCTGTGAGGAGCAAGGGGTCATAGCCCCACACCAGACCCCCCCTCCCCAGGGTTCAAGAGGTGGAAAGAGAAGTCCCCGTAACTTTGGACTGTAAAAACCAGGGATTGTGGCTGAGGGACATGGAGGCTGCCAGGGAGGCTCAGGTGTCCATCTTAAAGGCCCGGCATGAACTTACTCAGACTCACTTCCTCTGAGCTCCAGCACCAGGAGGCATTGGGAGACCCAGACACATACGGAGAGGAACCAGATTGTCTGGCAGAAGGGCTGGAACTCAGGGGCAGCTTTCTATCAGACGGAGGTGCTCACAGGAATCACTGTTCCTGTGCTGGGATCTCCTTGTCCCAGGGCTGACTGACAACCATTTCTGAGTCCCCATCAGCCTGGAGCACACTGTTTGCCCCACCCTGGTGATTCCCTGAGACCCCACCCCATCCAATTTGCAGCCCTACCCAAGATATTTGCAGCAGCTTTTCGATATGAATGGTCTGTCCTGACTCAGGCTTCAGACTTTGCTCAAATCTCTTAAACAAGCAGCAGCTGGCATCAGCATGCCCCAAACCTATCAATAAAAGGCCCAACACCTGGCAGCAGCACCAGCCTGCCTTGCTTCACAGCTGGGCCTCACCTGGGTACTTCCAAACCCAATACAAATAGGAAGAATCTGCAGATCTCTCTGTAGCTTCTGCCAGGTGGCCCTAGGCAGTGGCTGACTTTGTACCTCCCAAGAGACCCAAGGGCCAGTTTACCTGGTGGATAGCTTCAAACCATACCAGATTGCACTCTACACATCCACAAGCAACACACTCAAGGGGCAGATTCAGTGAGCTCCATAGCCCTACTGAAGCAAGTCCTGCTCCATAGGGGTATTTCCTGTACAGCAGCTCTCCCACTATAGTTGCAGCTGGTCCTCACAGTTAATTCTCCTGGAGGTCAATTCCTCCCAGTGTCACCAACAGCAATCAAGGCTCAACTACAACAAGACTGTGCAAATAGCCCACAAAGGGGAGCATCTAGAGTGCCCAACTCAGGTGACTGGGGAGGCTGAGCCACTGGGCCCTATAGGACACCTACTACACAAGGCTACTCTACCAACTCCAGGAGACATAGTAACTCTACCTAATACATAGAAACAAACACAGGGAAGCAGCCAAAATGTGGAGACAAAGAAACATGTCACAAATGAAAGAAATAGAAGAGAGTGAACTACTGGATACGAGTTCAAAATATCTTTTTGATACCTTCAAGAGACTTAGACTTTCAAGGATCTTAGTGAGAATGCCAAAGACATGAAAAAGAACCAGTCAGAAATTAAGCATACACTAACTGGAATAAAGAATAATTTACAGTGATTCAACAGGAGAATAGAGGATTCCAAGAATCAAATCAACAACTTGGAATATGAGGAAGCAAAAAACCACCCAATCAGAAAAACAAAAAAAGGAATCCAAAAATATGAAGACAGTTTAAGGAGCCTCTGGTACAACTTCAAGTGTACTAACATTCGCATTATGGGGATGCCAGAAGGAAAAGAGAGACAGCAAGATATTGAAAACCTATTTGAAGAAATAATGACAGAAAACTTCCCTACCTGGTGAAAGAAAGACTTACAAGTCCAGGAAGCACAGAGAGTCCCAAACAAGAGGAACCCAAAGAGGATCACACCAAGACACATCATAATTAAAATGCTGAGGGTTAAAGACAAAGAGAGCCTCTTAAAAGCAGCAAGAGAAAAGCAGTTACCTACAAGGGGAGCACCCATATGACTATCAGCTGATTTCTCAACAGAAACTATGCAGGCCAGAAGGGAGTGGCAAGAAATATTCAAAGTGATGAATAGCAAGGACCTATAACCAAGATTACTTTACCCTGCAAGCCTATCATTTAGAATTGAAGGTCAGATAAAGAGGTTCACAGACAAGGAAAAGCTAAAGTAGTTCATCACCACCAAAACAGTATTACATGAAATGTTGAAGGGTATTCTTTTTTTTAAAATATGTTTTATTGATTTTTTACAGAGAGGAAGGGAGAGGGATAGAGAGTTAGAAACATTGACGAGAGAAACATCGATCAGCTGCCTCCTGCACACTCCCTACTGGGTATGTGCCCGCAACCAAGGTACATGCCCTTGACCGGAATCGAACCTGGGACCCTTGAGTCCGCAGGCCGACACTCTATCCACTGAGCCAAACTGGTTAGGGCGAAGGGTATTCTTTAAGAAGAGGAAAATGAAAAAAGATAAAAAATATGAACAATAAAATGGCAATAAATACATTTCAACAATTAAATCAAAATAAATGAGTAAGAAATCTAATGAACAGAATAAACTGGTGAATAAAATAGAATCAGAGGCATGGAAATGTACTGACAATTCTCAGAGGGAAGGGGTGGGGAGGCAGGAAGAGATTAAACAAAGATCTTATATTCATACTAGTAGCCCGGTGCACAAAAATTTGTGCACTGGGGGGGGGGGCGGTCCCTCAGTTATTAAACATTTATCGGCACAACACTGACCACATTGGTGGTGGTGGTGGTCTTGTCATAATGTGTTATATTATGCAGATGAAAATCTATTTAAACAGATTTGATGTAGATATTTTCAAAGATGGAAGAATTGTCCCTGTCAACTATTTTAGTTGATTCATATCTTCACTAATTGTCATCATTGCAAAGTTTTCAGTCCCCATATGGATTGCTGGATATAATAGGTCATGCGCTGTCCCTGTCCTTTGTAGCCTTTGTTACCTTAAGGACTCTAGTTTTCCATTTATATGTTTAAGTACCAACCTTACCGGCTTAAAAATGTAAG